TCGTTTACGAGAAGACGAAAATATACATTACACACTCGTATCAAAATCAACTACTGTGAAAATACAAAAGGAAATAATGATCAAACAATGATTTCGCCTTTATGACATCTAGCAGTCGTTCAATCATCCTTATAAGATTTCATGATATAATGTTTGGTGTGATGTCCGATAATATTCCCAGGCATGCATGGAAGATGATAAAAAACGGCTTCATCTGAAACGTCTGCATTATAGAACACCAATACGTATGAATTCAAGTTTACATTGTACATGTAATAAGTTTATTCATGAGTGTATGGAGTCTCAATTATTGGAGTCATTTCAGTGAAATTAAAAAATCGACTAATTTATATATACCCCAATTTATATACCCAATTTATATAATATATTTATATATCAATTCATATGAGCGAATTCGCCAATTTTGTGCATGAAAAATTTTCTCCAACTTTACAATGTTTTTTTTTCTATTTTTTATCGGAAAGTATTGTCCAAAACAAGAAAAATGAGTGCAACCAGAGCTCTCTAATTCAATTATCGGTGGAGAAAATGTGGAAAATTTGGCATTTTTTGTAGAACTCTTTCTGTTCTATAAAAATTAGTGTAGATTCCTACAGAAATGTCTCTATCTTCTTCATATTCCAGAAATATTTTCAAAAAACCATTTTTTTTTTGAAAATTTGAATAAATTTCGGACACAACTCTAGGTTTCAATTTTTGTTGTTGTCCAAGTAGATTGTAATTAGAATTGAAAAAAAAATTTAAAAAAAAAACAATCTTCAATATCTGCCAATAATGGAGTTGACGAGCTGTGGTTGCAGTCATTCTTCTTATTTTAGAAAATACTTTTCGATGAAAAATAGAAAACAAAGTAGAAAAATTTTAAGGCAATTTACACCATATACACCAGTGGCGGATTCGCTCATATACACGTGTTGTGTAGATAACGTATTTAACGTATTTGTGAGGTCTTCCATGAGGGATTTTCCCCACAGCTGCATTTTTCTAACCATGTGTTCTTTTTTCCCTGAGTAAATTGACGCTGCTCCGTGATTTTCGAGCGTTATAAATCTGGCCAGACTTTTGGGAATATTCTCTCGCTCTCTTTTACGATTTTAATCCTATTTTGGGCCAGTCCCCAACCTTCGAAAGTTCGTTATTTCACTGGGACATTTGTTGATTTATTTGGGCTAGAATACTTTTCGCAAGCTTTTACTTTCCCTTTGGTTTACGACTTAATCCTTTCCATTCCCAAGGGTCGAAGCGAGGCACGGAACCTCTTTACCTGGACTTGAAATTACTTCCTCTTCTAATCCTGGTGGCTTTATACCAGGACTTTAATTTTCCCCATCGATGGACGGTGGCAACCCCTCTCTCTGACCTTTCAGTGACCACCGCCCTCAGGATGATTTTTCGCGTTTCTTGCAAAAAGATTCGTTGAATCCCCTCTACTCCTAAAATTGGTGACACCCCACGGATACTTGACCAAGCGGAGAGCTACAGGAGAAACTGAAATTGTAATCACTCCTATCCCAAGTTTTGAGACGTACAGATCTAATTGTGAAATTAAAAGTTGAAAAGAGACAAGATTATAAACACCTTTGAAGAGTAATTCGATTGTAAAATTAATGTACTCGAGTTGTGGACTATTGAAGAATCAATTAAATGCAAAGAACTATTTTTATGTGACATTAATCTGTGTTTAACAATTCATTTAAAATATCCCGGTTTAGTACTCCACGGGCAACTTATCCGCCCCATTTGATTGCAAATACCTAGACGGAAAATATCTACATAACATATGAATTTAGCCGATGCCATTTCGATTGTAAGTAACTAGAAGTAATTTGTACGATTATTTTCCCTACCTTTGAATGTCAAACAATAAAAGTGGTAAATAGAATGGGAGTAAAATTATTTTGATTATTTTTCCCAATCGGATTTCGACCAATCACAGTGCAGTATTTGAGGGCGCACCCGACAGTTCTATTGCGGATATTTCCTTTTATATTTAACTTTTGAATATTTCGTAATTGCTCTTCATTTTTTTTCACCCGAATATACCGTAGTAGTTCTTCATTTTTTCGGCTCATTTCAGATCGAATCTTGAATTTGACAGTCTGCAGAAATCGGATTATTCTATCAACATAATTTGTTTAAATCTTCATTAATCCATCTCCTGATGTCATCCACTGCACTCGCGCAAGCGCTCAGAATTTTTTAACCTGCAAAACTTGATACCCTTATTTGTTTGCAACAAAGCTATCGGGAAATGCTCGGGAAATATTATGATAATATTTCGGTTATTTCCATTTAGTCGCCCGACAATCTTGAATTAACATGTTTAAATAGATGAAGTTCAGGCATGAATATGGCTTTATCCCGCTAAAATGTTGAATATTGCATCTCCACCTTCGTGGAAATTCGTCGACAGATTCTGACGAATTTTGACAGAAAATCTAAAAAATCGTCGTAAAATGAGAAATTTCTCAAATTTTGTAATAAAATGACAGAATTTGACATAAAATGACAAATTTTGTCCGATCATATTTCGCCGGACAAATGTCATATTATGTCAAGTTGATAAAATGTCATAAAATGTCAGAATATGTCAAATATTGTCATAATCGGACATATTATGTCAGAGATAATGTCATATTCTGTCATATTATGACATTTTCTGACAAACATCCGGGCTGGGAATATTCTCAGAAAATGTCAGAATATGTCAAATAATGTCATAATCGGACATATTATGTTGAAGTCATAAAGGGTCAGAAAATGATAAAATATGACCTATTCTGTCAAATTCAAGTGAAAAAATCCCAAAAATTGTCAAAAACTGAGAAATTAGGACAGATTGTGTTAAAATCGAGTGCAAAAAATGTCAAAATTTGTCATAAATTTGCCTGAATAATCTATCAGAATTTGTCATATCATGTAAGAAAAAGCCATAATCTGACATATTATGGCGAAAAATGACATAATCTGACATGTTATGACAAAAATGACATTAAATGTAAAAAAAGGGACAGCGAACGGTCTGAGCAGTTGACATATTATGACATATTATGACAAATTCTGTCAAAATTTGTCAGATTCTGACATATTTATCTGAAAAATTATAACATATTCTGACCCATTTGTTCCAAATCGCGGTCATTTTATGTCATTTTCTGACATATCATATCGCAGATACTGACATATTATCACAGATTCTGACATAATATGAAATAAAATTTCAGAATATGATAGAATTTGACATTTTCTGTCAAAATTTGTCAGAATCTATCGACGAATTTTTGTAGTGTTTCTCGATTTTTTGTTCTATCGGTGAAACTCGTGACAAGGCGATTATCAGTTGTCACTTGATTTACCGACTGAGCAAAAAATTTCTTTCGGTTGCTGAGAAACGCGGCAAGTTTACTGTCGCAGAAGGTGTTCAAGAAAAACGCTATATGTTAATCCATTTAGCTCAATTATACATTTATAATAAGTCTTTCATGAATTCTTTACATTACCAAATTGTTTTGAATAACTATTCAACTTGAGGATGTTTATTCATTCACCGAAAACTGATTTCTTGTATGTTCGAGAAAAATTCTGTATTTTTTTAGACTAAGTGGAGAACATATGAAAAATATTCTGAAATGATTGAATGATGGCTTAAAAAATTTGTTTCGATGTCTTTTTAACCAAGTTCGAAGATGTTTACGATAGCTATTGGTTGATTTGATTTTTATGATGATTACTGAAAATTTCGAATTTTTCATGAATTCCCTGAAAGTCAGTTTTCTGATGGTGTCTTCAAATGTGGTGTTTCAAATGCAATTACGTATGTATAAATAACATTTTTCTATTGACATTAACGCAAAAAAGACAATTGGTTGTATAGAAGAAAGGGATAATAAGAATAATGATGATAACATTCAACTACGTTGAAAATTTGACACACTTATTTGAAAAGAAATTTTATTCAATTTAGGCCCGGTTGCACCGAACCCTGTTAGCTATTTTTACCCCAGGATAAATTTATCCATGTGTAATCCTTATGGACTAACAGACTGTTATCTGGCGGTTTAGTTAACAGACGATGGTGCAACCGGGCCTCAATAAAATAAAATTAACTGTGAATTATACATGATAGACGGAAATGGTGTTCAAAATAACCATTCGGAAGCATATTATTAATTTATTAGCAAAAATAACTATACTATCTTCAATACGAGAGCAATTTCCTACTTGTTTTCCTTAAAGAAAGGCAATTCACCAGAGTTGATTTCAACTTGGCGCTGATCGAAGTGCTCGTACGAATGGTTGATGATGCAATTTCCTCAAAAAATCCTAAAATTTGAATGTTTTAATGATTTTTTCACTCATTCTTATCTAATGAATTGAGAAGGAGACCAATCCACTATTAAAATGCTAGTTTTTTCACATCATTGTTATTTTTTCTTCACCAATTTATGTGCATTCATTTTTTAAAATTGTGCCTTTTGCCCTCTTTTGGGTACTTTATCACTTTTTTTCTCGAAAACTAGACGTAACGGAGAGATTTCTCAAACAGATTTGAAATCCGCGTGAAAATATCTACAAGGCTATATCAGTGTCATTTTCCAAGGTAAGCCGATCCAAATTTTACTGTAATTTTGTTATTATCAAACCAATAATTTCACAGTAACCTTTGGTTTCTCTTCATTTGACAAATATATTTCCCACATTACCGTGGTAATTTCCGAAAATTTACGGAGATGTTATTTTTGACGGGAATTTTACGGATATGGTATTTTTGACGAAAATTTACAAATATGTTATTTTTTATGTTAAATTATTGATTCCACTGCATTCCAATATTTTTTCTTTGTAGTAATTTCCCGATTCTTCAAATTGCGTACTTCAGTTGTCCAAGCTTAGCGCAACTGACACCCAACTATATAGTGAAGTGGTCGAATGTCCATGGGTGGGGATATACGCTGAAGTTCACTGTTTGATTACAGGTCATGCATCATACATACAACACACTTAACCTCGAACTGTCATACTTTGAAAAACGTAACAATACCCCAATATTCAGTAATATTTTCGTATCTCGCTATTTACAATCACGTAAGGGTTGAAATAATAAAAGTCCCTCATTTCTCGTAATTTGTCCCATTGTCGTGGGAAAATTATTAACCATAAGGTTCAATTCTTCCAGTTGGCTGATATTTTAGATACAATGAAATAATTCTTTTATAAATAAGAAAAATAGACGTTTTAAGAAGATATTTCATAGAATCGACAAAAGGTTATTTCCAAAAATTTGTTTATCAGGCTGTGAGTGAATCCCAATGTCTTTCGAGAATGGAGTTGATCAATCAAGTGAGAACCCTGAAAGTTCTCATTGGGATACCTTGTATAAATTGGCGAATGTCAATAGAGAATTTTTCTCCCCGCATCAAGATGAATGTGGATTGAGAATTTGTACAGCACACGTTGTAGTACTTGATATAATAAAAGAATTACGTCCATTGTACAAAGAAATTGCAACAATCGCTCCACAGTATGATTTCGACGAGAATACACCTGGTAATGGCTACAGAAGCTTCATTTCTCTGGTCGATAAGTGTATTTTACATTGTGAGGGCATTTGTCAACAAATCTATAATCTCAGGGAATCTGTACTCTTCAGAAAAACAAATTATATGAGGTAAATTATCTTTACGATTATTTTCATCAGTGACACTGATCTTCATTGAGATTCTGTCAATCTGAACTCTATTATTGTATTTTTTCCTTCTCCTCATCGCAAACATAGGGAAATTGAGGCGTGCTCTCAACTCATGGCTTCCTTGAGCACCTTTTTGCATCATCTGAAAACGCTTCATACTTGGAGTGAGTTGGGAATGGATAATAGACCCTCCCTATTTCCATCAGAGGAGCACAGTCCTCAGGAATTATTGGATCAGGCAGGAAACATCGATCAATACTGTTATTATGGGAGGTGTTTGGGTTTTCAATTCACAGATAGTATAAAATACATCATGAAGGTAGTACTTGTATCTATGGCCTCGTTTAGTGAAGCTTATTACACGAATGGATCATTTTTTGGTAGATGTGCTAACTCATTGAAATACGTGGTTGATCCAGAAGCACGTGCTCGTCGTATTGTAAATATAGCACAAAGAGGAGACGTTTATTTCTGCAAAGCATTTTGGTATTTACATGACACTCAAATAGTTCAATTTGTACCATTTATGATGATCCCTACATTGGCGATCAACCAAGTGATCTCCATACCACCTGAACAAATGTCTATATCTTCAGTCAATGGTGGTCCAGATGTTCACGTACCAATTCCATGCAGTCATGTTGGGAAAAAACCAATTCATGTCAAACTGTGGAGTTCAAAACGTAGAATAGGAATGGTTGGTTCAGCAAGGGCTAGTGGTGAACTGCACGGTCCATCTGATGTACTTCTGTTTCATTGTCATGGTGGTGGATTCGTTGCAGACAGTCCAAAAGCACACGAAACTTACCTCAGAAATTGGGTGGTTGCTCTAGATGTGCCAATAATCAGTGTTGACTATAGTTTGTCTCCGGAAGCACCATATCCACGTGCTCTCGAGGAACTAGTATATACTTATGCCTGGGCTCTGAAACATGCCAATTCCCTCCTTGGTACTAATGCCAAAAAAGTGATACTCATTGGTGATTCTGCTGGTGCTAATTTAAATCTCGGATTGACTGCTAAATGTTTGGAGCTCAATATCAGAAAACCTGATGGTATTTTTATGGTTTATTGTCCAGTTCTTGTTGAGTTTGTACCTTCTCCTTCGAGAATGCTTGGTCTTACCGACCCACTTTTACCGTTTGGATTCATGATGAGATGTTTGCGGGCTTATGTACTTGGGGATTCTTCATTGGATAAGAAGGATAAGGATAATGGCAGTGGAGAATACTCAAAATCAGATACTGAATCATTTGCTGAAGTGTCAGAGAGTGATTTAATTGCAATTGCACTCAGCCCACATGGAGATAAGGCTGATGAGAGTCAATTGGCTTCATTACCATCTGATTCGACTCTGAATTCTGTCAGCTTAGCTGAAGTTGATAATACACAAGGAGCAGAAATTACCAAAAGCGAAGACAAAAGTGAGACCACTTCTCAGGAGTATATTCGAAAGTTTTTAGATCTGTATAAGAATGTGAGCTTCAAGAAGTCAACCACATCAATGGCTGATCAGAGTGCAAATGATTTTGATAATTCTGATGGGAAAGGAACTTCGAGTTTTCTTGGATTTCCTTTTGGCAGGAGTGGAAGCAGTGTTAGAGAGCTTGATACTGCTTGTACTAAAAGTCCTACTGATGAATTCGTTTTCACTGTTCCAAAGGACCCTTACTTGAGTCCGTATCGACATTCTGATGAAGTACTTAGTCAATTACCGCCATGTAAAATAGTCGTTAGTATAAATCTTTCATTTTCCAAGTTTTCCTCTATGCAGGCTGGATTATCCAGTGTTCGAACCATTTTCATAATCAAAACATCAACTAATTCGAACACTGCATGATTCACCCTGTAATAAATATTTGAAGATTGTTTCGGACTGTAAATTTTTGTGATTTTTTGGTACTTGCAGACTTCTGATTTGGATCCTTGTCTAGACGACTGCGTCATGTTTGGCAGAAAATTGAGAGCCCTTGGGAATCATGTTTCATTGGACATTGTAACAGGCCTACCACATGGCTTCTTGAATCTGGCAGTGGTCAGTATTAATCATTCCAAATCATCATAGACAAGGGAGAAGTCGAATGGAAATGTTTGATTTTATGGAAATGTTAACCCCTCAAGTACGGGAGCTTTCTGTTACTACTCCTATTACACGCTCCATAGCTTTCAAATTTAATCATTTCTTATGAATTGAAAATTATAAAACCGAAACATAACTGAAGTTAAAGTATTTTTCTTTCCTATGTTGTTCGTGTTATTACATTATTCATCATAATCATAGTCCCGTAAATATATAACTTTATAGCTCTTTTCTTAAACCACTTACTACGGCAGTAAACGGGGCCGCCTTTTTCAGCAATCGAAAAAATTTTGTAGTGTTTCTCGGTTTTTTGTTCAGTTTGTAAAACAAGTGACAACGCCATTATCAACAGAGATGCAAAATGAGGATCATTTTTTACACTGCGTTATGTGATCAAAAATAATGGTCATGTGGCGCACAAATTTTATAACTACAAATGATGGTTACAAATAATTTGCAACGAAATTATTGTCAAAAAATCTAGTGGAGAGTGGGGCAAAATGAACCATTTTGCCATTTTTCCATTTAGTAAAATGGTAAATTATTGACAAGTTTCGTTGGGCGAAGATTTTGTTCATGGATTATTCGAGTGAAATTTAGCATCATATTTTCCTTTTTACCCCTCTGGGTTTTCGCCTGGGCCTTGCTCTGGACTTTGGATTTTGCTGTTTCATTTTCTTTTCAATTAATTTTCGTTCCACCGAGAAAAGTATTCCTTCACTTACCCTCAGTGACTGAATTCTTATCTTCATTTAAAATTCTATGGATTAAGAAATTTTTTGCCTTTCTATGATCAATATTGTCTTCTCTTATTTTAGGTATCTAAAGAAGCAGCGGATGCTTCCGAGCTCTGCATGAAAAGGATAAAGGAATTGATCGATATGTAACTCTATTCAGCTGGAAATATCTCAGCGTCTTTCGGCTAAGGAAAAAAATATTATTCAATATTTTATTGTAAAAAACTGAGCAAGCCATGAGAGCGCTCGAATGAAGTAGCTGAGTTTGATGCATTTCTTTCTGTGATTAGACGTGGGATAAAATGTAGCGAGATTTTCGTGCGAAAATTTTCATCAATTATTTTTTTACATATTGATATATTTATTATGACGATATTTCTTGCATCTTACGAGTAACTGTACCAGACAATTACGGTCAAATTTTGGTGAAGGGGTCTCCTCAGCGGTTTGTAGTGCAAGATGCTGGAGACACCAAATTTCGATTATCTGTTCATGGGGACATTAAAAAACGATTACCACAATTTCAAGGAATTTGGCAGTTTCTTTTTCAAGATATGCAATGCCGAGAAATGAAAAATCTTGTTTTTCAATTTTTGGGGATGCATATCTCGAAAATGAAGCACACCAAGTGCTTGAATTTTTGATCATCGCATTCTGGTGTAGGGTGAACAGGCCAATTGCTGGACGATTAAGGCAAATTCAAGTTTCGTGGTAGGATGTAAAATAAAAGAATCAGCTAAATGGGGATATGATGGCATCCATACTTTCAAGGATGTTTTAATTAGCAGAAAAAAAATTATTGGAAGTGAAAATAACAAAACAAAGAATAATTAAATTAAGAAATAGTTGAATGCAGCCGAAACCTCCAATTTCTGGACGACTGGACCACTTTTTTTTATTTATTAAATGTCGATCAATAGAAAAAAATAATTGATTACATGATTATAAACGAGTAATATTTATTGAAAAGTGAAATAAGCAGTACAATTTTCATTTTATTTATGGAATATTGAATGCAATTTGAAATCGTCCAAAAATTGACCTGTTTACCCTACCCAACAAAAATAATTCAAACAAAAAATTTTGTGTCTCTAGCTCATCGCAAATTGCTCACTATTCAAGATTACTGACCTCTCAAGGAAGAATACTACTAAGCTACAAAAGTTCTGCAATTTGAAAATTTACCTTCGTGAGACCTTTTTCAGCATGTGTATCAGTTAAAAAATGTATATTCCCGCCATATTCGATAGTTTTACATGGTTTCAATTATATTTTTTCAAATTGTTATGTACACATGGGGAGACAATTCTAAAAAGTTTTCAAATCGTAGAACTTTGAAATTTCAGTAGTGTCTCCCCTTAATAAAATGAAAGAATAAGAAGATCTTGTGATCTATTTCACTTCAATTTGCCCGGCATTTTTTTCAGAGAGAAAAAAAATCTTTTCATTTCAAATACTTGAAGTAATGAATGTGTGAAATACCATCAATACCATGAGTGAAAACTCCATATAAAATGTATCCTATTAAACTCGATGAATCGAGTGACTAAATTATCAAAGAATTAGTTAAAACGTACATTTACTTTGCGAAGCCATGGTGTTCAACGCATCAGTGTGTCAAGAATTAGAATTTTCGGACTTGAACGAATTGTTTTCAGTTGAGTGCAACCTAACGCTGGCGTAAAGTACTTTGAATTGGGAATGTCATAAAATACATGATTTACTCAGAATCAACTGTTTCAATAGCACCGAATCATTCTTTCTATTTATTGAACCTACAGAATTGATGGATATAAATGATGTTTTTTTTGTTGCTTACAACGAATTTATTGATATTTTTTATACCCAATGTTAATTATCACCAGATCTATTCATCATATATTGTTGTCAGGATGGTGTTAAATGGAATAAACTGAAGAAATAATAGAACGGGAAGAATGACCAAAGGAACAATATAGAAATTAATGGCAAGGTAAAATCAATGTAGAAATACAAGAAAATTTTATTGACATTTTGTACAGCAATGAATTGATATGGTCAAAGTAAAACGGAAGAAAATGAAGATGAAAAATGGGAATTGAATTAAAAAACAATGAAGGAAGAGAGAGAAATGCTAGAATGTAATTTCCTTCATTTACTGACTGGATGTTTGTCGGTTTGTGTCAGATTGTAGATGCACTGTTTTTTGTAGCACATGTGCGTCTGCAGGTTCAATTCTCTTGTAATATTGCTGCTTCGTTGCTACAATTTCGAAGCCAAACTTTTTATAAAAGTCAATAGCCCCCTCATTGTTGACTTGAACGTGTCTATACAAACAAATTTGATTGATGGGTGATATCAAATTACAATAAAGAAAGTTCAAAATGTACAAGAAAAAGTTTCATTCACTTACAAAAATATGGAGTTGAAGTTTTCATCTTTTTTAACATAATTTAATACGTGTTGGACCATCACAGTACCGATACCAAGTCTTCTGTATGGCGACAAACAACCTAAAGTCATTATGTATAATCGACGTGCATTCTCAGAGGTGTCTACACGACAGCAAACAGCGCCAACCTGTTTTTAATAAAACGTGAAAACAAAATTTATGTATCAATTATTGAAAGGTCTGCTATTAAGATCAATCAACTTAAATTTTCAGTAGTGAAGCCCCAGGAGCTTCAAAATTAGCGGGTATTTGCCAACGGCGTCGTTGGATAACAACAAACATGCCAAGTCTTCCAGGGTAGAAAAATGACAAATACCTGATTCATTTTGGAGTGCGTGGCGTATTTGTCGGATTATTGTTTCCATTTATGCTACAACGAGAGCTTTATAAGTTATTGGATATTTCCTGATAGGAGGCAAGTTTTTCATGTTAAAAAATCACGAGTGTGAAGTACGAGTATTGATTCCTGAAAAACTTGACGACTTTTTTTGTATGCAGGGAAATACCTGAATAATGTTGAGGCTCAAGAGGTATCGGGAGATTATTTTTTCTCTCAGAATCTCAGCGTTTGCAAGGAAGCTTCTCGTTGCTATAGATAACGAGGCATAATAAAAAATGATCAAAAAATAATCGCTGTAAAATCGTATAGACTGTGCAACTGGATCTCCAGAATTCACTGAAATTTCTCTCATGTTTCTCTACAAAGTAACCATTGGGATAAGTTTTGCACAGAAATGCTTTGTGCTGAGCGCGCGGGATTTTTCACTTGCAAACTTCTCCCTATTGTTGCTATGCAATGAAACTGTGGAACATTTTTTGACAATTATGGAGTATTATAGCTGATTATTTCTCACATCCAGATTCTGGTTAATCGGAGCGTAATCTTTGCTACCTTTTTACATCAGATTGCTTTCAATAATTCCTAACTAGCTTTTGAAAATTCCACCTTAGCTTTTCAATTCTTTGTATAACATCATAGTCGTTAAATATGGAGACGAAAAGTGGGGACATTTGACAAAGCAATAAGTTTTCTCCACCTTCGGGAAAAAATCCACGAAATATTCGATGAAATTAACAATCGGGACAAATCCGATAGTTTCGAAAGTCTTGGGATGTTATTAGTGAAACCCTGTATGGATATATTCATCGAATTTTCAATAATTTCCGTTTGTGCTTTTGATTTATCAAACGGAACAGGATTTTTGAGCGCTGATTTTGTGGCTCCTATAGATTTTTTGGCGCTATGTCATCAATAACAAAACTTGAATATTTTTCGAAAAAAAAAAAATTTGCATATTTTACTGAAAAGAATTATTATTTCAAATGATTGATTTTTCTGTTTTCCGTATTTTTTTATATACTATACTTTGTACACACCTGTATTTATATACATGTATTTTCTCATGGACGTAATTGCTTAAAACTTTCAACAAACTATTGCATTAATATTTTTCTCTAACAAATTAATTTTTTTTCTTGACATTCATCCAATACAATAGATAATATATCAAGTCACAGAATACTATTAATTTACAAGTAGTTACATAGTTAAAAATTTCATCAGTCACGAAATACTATCAATTTACAAATTTGGTCACGCTGACCTATTTAAGATTTGCAAATTTTGTAGAATTCATTTTGTATTCATTACCGGGTGCGGTTCAATGGTTGAAGAAGTTTTTTCATAAGCGTCAAAAAACGGCGCCAACAAGTAATGTACCATTGTCAAACTGAACGTCTTCACTCTTATTTTTTTTAATATCTCCACTAGAAAAGTCGAAAAAATTATAGGAAATTTAAGAATCGAATTTAGACACAGAATTCGGTAGAGAAGCTCAAGTACATGACCCACGAATTATCAGTGGTAACCTATACTGTACTATACACTGGAAGATGATGATTAATATACATTGAGCCTCCATTTGTCACAGTAAGCAAGAAAGGAAATCTCGATCTCCAAGATTGAAAGAATGTGATATTCGAAATGAATTCTACTTCCTCTTGACAATATTATGAATTTATTTTTCTCAATACAGACATACAGACATCACAGAGTAGTTGTCATCATATTTAAAGGTATAGAACTGGATGACGTATTCCACATCAAATTGGTCAACTCTTATGGAGGGGCTTGAAAGACTCTATCCTCCTGATTTCTTTTAGAGTTCTTCGTTTTCTAAAGAGTGGAGAAAAGTGGAAGTTGATTCACTCCAACTCTTGATATCTTCGTTTACAAACAGAGATATTGGAATTTTGAGACGATGACAGGTAAGTGTTACACTTTGTTCTCCACCTCGCGTATGAAAAAATCGTATAGAAATTTTCTATACGGATTGCGTATAGAATTTCTATAGGATTTTCGTATATGATATTCGGATATTTCTATACGGATATTTTTTATACAAATTATTTCTATACGATTTCTATAGGTTTGATCCTATACGACCCACTGCCACATGTATAGAAACATTTCGTATGGAGTTGCGACATTTTTTTACGTTTTTCTCTGGAGCGTTTAGACATCTTTCGTATGAAAACAAATATTTATGTAAAAATTTGTGTAGAAATAATTCGTATAGAAAATATTCGTATAGAAATATCTGAATATCATATACGGAAATCCTATAGAATTTCTATACGTAATCCGTATAGAAAATTTCTATACGATTTTTTCATAAGTGCTTCCCCTCATCTCGGTATATACCTCGTGATCCTGGCATTTAATTTTACTCTTTTCCTGATACTTCAATTCATCTTGTTCTGCCTAGTTTACGTGCGGTTTATTAAATCCACTCATAAAATTTTGCAGCAATTAATATATTGTCTTAGCAACTAGGAAGAAAATGGCACAAGTCATTTTTTTAGCCGTACGAATATCGATTTTGAAAATATTGTACCAAGTTATATCTCTCATTCCAATGTTTTTATATTCACAAATATTTTATCGTCTTTCAACAATGTATATGATCTTCATTTATCCTTAGGGGGTGTGTCACCCCAGGACAACCAATAAAAGCTACTATACTATACTATACTATACTATACTATACTATCACGTCAAATGAGTCAATCGCTGACCCTCACACTCTTGGAAATTAATGGCGATTTTTTCTACAATCGGGGGGATTGAAAAACTATCTCTCAAATTTTTTCAGATTTTTTCGGCAGCCCAGTTCGGAGATGTGATTTTTTTCACATTTTTCCGTTTTTTCCAATAACTCGAGTTCTATTTGTCCAATTTTGATTTATTAAGCGTCTAAATTTTCCATTTTTTACTGCCTATACGACTATTTTTAGTAATTTTTTTTTCGATTCCTAGATGTTGATAATAACGAATGTTCGAAAAAAAAGTTGGAAAACTTGAATTTCGCAAATTACGTCACAATTGATATTCAAATTTTTTTTTTCAGTAATTCTTATAATCAAAACAAGTCTTTTGAGCTGTCATTCAAGTTGTGCATCCTCCTAGATCTATGTTATGTTTTTTATTTCTTTTGGAAATTTCGAAATTTTGATCAAAACACTACAAAACGACTTCGACTATGTATCGAAAAAATATATAATATATAGGTATACAATCAAATTCACTTCATACTGTCTATAATCAAAGTCAATCAAAGCCATTTTGATGTGTTACGACCAAATTTACGGAATTTCGAAACGAAAAAATTGAAAATAAACTAGATCCAGGACGATGCCCAACTTGTATGATAGCTCAAAATACTTGTTTTGATTATAAGAATTACTGAAAAAAATGAAACAAATCATCCTTGACGTAATTTGCAAAATTCAAGTTTTTTAACTTTCTTATTCGAAAAGTCGTTATTATGCGCATCTAGAGATCGAAAAAAAAATTTCACTAAAAATATTCTTATAGGCAGTAAAAAATGGAAAATTTTGACGCTAAATAAGTCAAAATCGGTTGGATAGAACTCGAGTTATTGAAAAAAAAAACAGAAAAACAAAACAAGAATCATATCTCCGAACTGGGCCGTCGAAAAAATCTGGAAAAATTTGAAATAGTTTCAGCGTCATTAGTTTTTCATCCTCCCCAATCGTAGAAAAAATCGCCATCAATTTCCAAGAGGGGGAGGGTCAACGGTTGATTCATTTGGCGTGGAATACCTCATATACTCTTTTCATTGAAGGTTTAATTTAATTTGTTGTATAACTCACATTTATTAAATCGATTTGAAGTTCTCAACGATTAAATTTATAGGCGTGTAAAGCACAATTTTTTTCATTCTTCTTCCTTCTATAGATTCTCACAATCAAAACACGCAATTTTAAGTGCAATTAAAAGGTAAGCAAATTCCTGAATTAAAATTATTGTCAATTTTTTAAATCATGAGTTCTCATAACCATGGGAAATCCAACCTAACATTTCGATTGTACTCCCCTTGAAAGTTGGCCTGACGAACAATCAACCACCAAAACAGCCTTAATCTACAATCGAATAAAAAAAGAATATTACCACAATGTCATTGTAGTAGGCCAGCTTGGCTAATTCCCCAGCTTCCAACACATCCTTGTAAAATTTTTCATTGTAGGAGACGGGGAATACGACTTGATTGAGGAGCTTCAATTGTTTTATATTGTGCGGTGTTACGTCCCCCAGCTCAATTTTTGCCCTGTGAAATAATCATTTCCTTAGATCTAAAGTTTCTCAGATAATCACGGAAAGAAATAGAAAATGTGATAAAGAAGAACGAGAAGATGGGGGTTAGAATGAATTGTCTTCTCACGCCTCATTATCCACTCATTAATAATACTGTTTCACTCATTTCAGAAGATGAAATTAATGAACAGAATAGTGATTTTTAAAATGATCACATTTACATTAACGAACAGAAAAGGTTCCAATGTTCCAAGGTGTAGTCGAAAAGGGAAATATTAACCTCTAAATAATCTAACATTCAAGTGACTTACCTAGTCATAATTAGATATTGTCAATTTAATGTTGCTGATTCAATTTTCAATAAATAATTAATATATTGAACCTATTATGAGAAAGTGTCGGAATTATAAATCCATCAACGATTTTCCCGGCGCTCTTGGACCGCACCAATTTTTCGACTGTATAACGAACCTGTTCACGTCAGTCACTACTAGTGTGCATTCAGGGGGCGGCCATGTCCAAGGCCAATTCTTGGCGCAAAAATTTGAATTCTGACTTGGTGGATCCAAGTCGTGCTATTTTCATATATCTGGATGAAAAAGGCGGGCAAAATACGCTAATAGTAGATTATAGTATATCAATAGTATAATTCGCAAAATCGAATATTTGATGACTGAGATTCACAGAGCGACCTCTAAATATTTCTGACAATTGTAATGTTCGCAGTGACGCAATAGTATATTTCGATTTCAACTGTTTTACAGGATTGTCGGTAGCACATCAAGGCCGAGAAACGCATCTAAATTTGAAAGCAGTAGTCCATTAGAGTACAAGGGTACAAATCAGTAGCGAAGCGGTAAACTGGTTCAAGTCGATTTTGACTTTTGACCAGTTTTTGATGAATATCTCGGAATCTAAGAGAGATAGCAAAATTTTTCTCATGACCTTTTTTATAACCCTCAATTGGCTGTACGAAAAAGGTCATGACAAAAATTTTTCTCTCTTTTAAATTCCGAAATATTCGTCAAAAACTGGCCAATATTCAAAAGCGAACCCGGTTTACTGCGTAACCCGCTTTACCGCTTCGCCACTGAAATTTCGTTTTCGACGAATGTGAAGTTTACAGACTGAGCCGAAGGTGAGGTCCTGTGTAGGACTTCCAGTATAAGTTTTTCCTTCCGTGGGTACCCACTCTCTATGTGATTTTCACTTGTATCCGTGTCTCCCACTCCTGAAAACGAAGGAAAAGGTTCTACTGGAAGGCCTATACTCACATTCGTTGAAAATAAAGATTATGCCCGAGTCATCTATAATATTTTTTATGTCGCGCCGTGCAATAAGTCGAGTTTATCGCACGCTGCGCTTCGCGTAGCCTGCTCAAAACTCGACTTCTGCACGACTTGACATAAAATATTATAGAGCACTCGGTAATAAATTTCGTTTTCAACGAATGTGTAGTTTACAGGCCGAGCCGAAGGCGAGGTCTGTACACACATTCGTTGAAAACGAAATTTGTGCCCTTGTACTCTAATGTACTATTTGCGCGAAGCGCAGTGTGTGATAAACTCGACTTATTGCACGGCGTGACATAAAAAAATTTGTTTCCACGAAATTCACAGGAATAAGTTGAGGAAAACCATGCCACAAAAACCGGGAAAACATAAACAAGAAACTTGTATGGAACCTCAAAGTAGAAAATATAGAGTACAAAGTACCATTTGAATTTAGAGTACTAAGTACCCTCATAAAAGAAATTTGAAGCTATCAAATCATATTATAAAATTTGGAAAACCATCGAAGCCAACCAATTTTAATCATAACAAATGCGCGAAAAAAAACGGAACAAAGCATTTCATCTTTGTTATAATGGGTAAGCACGAGAATCACGCATAAAAAAATTCAATAGAAAACCTAGCGAATTCGCTAGGAAATTCTATTGGAATTCTATAGGAATTCTTTGGGGTTTCTATAGGATTTCAATTGGAATTCTATTGAAAAATTCTATTTGTTTTTTAGCGCTGATTTGATTGGATATTCGAAAAGAAAAAGCATAGATAAGAATAGATTTCGAATTTCTGTTTGGAAGTTTCTCTTGAGATTTTTTCTATAAGAATGTTTGGGCATCAATTTTCTAAGTTTTTTTCCACTCGGATTCTGTAATGCAAAATAAAACCAAATCCATTGGAAAAAAATTGGAAAATTTGAGCCCAATAATTTCTAATAGAAAAAATCTCAAGAGAAAAATTCCAAGAGGAATTCGAAATCTATTGACTTTTTCTTATCGAATATCTAATAGAATGAGCGCGAAAACCAAATAGAATTTTTCAATAGAACTCCAATAGAATATTCTAGCGAATTCGCTAGGTTTTCTATTGGATTTTTTCATATGTGATAATGGAGATTTAATATTTGAATAACGAGTGCATGAATATATGAATTGAGAAAAGATTTTTAAAAATAATATATCGCTACATCGTACGCAAAATATTCTTTAGATCGTTTATGGCCATTAGATTATGTCAATTAGTTTATGTCAATGAGAGAAAATCGCTATTATTCATGCAATTATTGCCCGAATAAGTGAATATTCAACTAAATATAAGCAAACCGTGGAGGTTAGACGCATTGAATCTTCTATTATTCATATTCAGTATGATTCTTTGAGTGAAAAATTATCATTTCTCAAAGAAATAAATACATTTTTCAAAGAACTCATTTGTTGATAATCGAGAATTTCATTGAATGGATTCATTTTTAATTATTCCGTGGAATATTCAGTCATGTGGGGAATAATTGTATGAATAATAGCGGTTTTTGGTCATTTTCAATACTTGTTCCGCTGAAAAAAATAATAACCGCCGAACAACGGCGAAAGACAAACTTTAATTGGCGCCAAAATTCCTTTCATTTTTTTGACAATTTGTGATGAAAATTTCAGATTAAAAAAAAATTAGCTTTCTTAATAATTAACGAATGAATAAAAAACGTTTTCTTGTACAAACCCCGTGAAACTGAAGATAATGCTATATATGATGTCTCATTTTGAAGAGTTTTTCATGTTCTTTGAGTGTGCCAAAGGGCGATTTGATAGCTTGAAACCCCGCAGAAATATTGAGGCCAATTTGGAAAAATATTTTCTTTCGACAAAAACTAGCCATCTTCAAAAAATCATCGAGGAACATCACTCCCTCAATTATCAATATTTTTCAATTTTTGGATTTTCAAAATTTTGTCAAATCGCCATCTCTTTAGAAAAAAATGAGACAAAATTCCCAGCATCGACTTTTTTGGCGTGGATCTGCTCGTAATTAACCTTGGGGTCCAAAAAGTAAGTAAATCAACAGATATTGCTGTCAAACAAGCTTCCGTTTCAATCCATATGTGCAGGTCCTCTTCAAGGTTAATTTATTACAAACAAACTGATAATCGAAAAGTGAATGAAACTTATTCCTGGTCAGTATTTCCATGTAAATCCATAGTATTTATTACATTTCTGAGTCTTGGCGAACAGAATAAGCATTTTGGGTTGACATAAAAGTTCCAAAGTAGACCGGGAGCTAGATCCCCAGACATCTAAATGTTTAGATGATATGAGTCTTACATAATGTCTTTACCGTTGTAGACAAATACCTCTCCTAACGTTAACAATGTAAGTCAAAAGTTTCTCTCCAACATGTGGCTCTGGGCGATAGTTATTAATTAATAAAGTTGATGAATAATATCATTGCTGGGCTAGATTTATTATGACGTAGATACTCGTAAACCATTTTTTCAAGAGCTAGAGAATGCATTTTCTGATAATTAGGAAATATTTGTGTTGGAAATGTTTCAGTTCGGTTTTGATTGCTGAACAATACTTTTTCAACCAAAATTGTTCTACTGGACAATTTGAAATTCGAGCCTATTTTGAAATTTGCATGGAGATTCCTAACTAAATATTTAGGACTATACCTCTTCATCGATAATCCATTTAGAGTCGAGGAACAACTTTCATGTCCTTCGGCAAATTCAGGGTTTTGCATCATCGTTTACATTATTGAGCTGTTCACTCCGCGGCGTAAACTTTGGCAGCCAAAATTTGAAGAAGGACAACGGAGTTCTCCTTTGACTATAGTATCCTCTGAGGCTGAAGTTTGACTAAATATGAGGAGAGAAATGTAAAGTCAGAACGTAAAAAAAAAATCCAAAACGCCCGAAGAGAAAATTATAAATTGAGTCGATAGAAAAGCTTAGTCGGTAAGAGTGCCCGGCGCGTATCTGGGAGACCCGGGTTCGATTCCCGGCTGGGTGAAGGGGAAATTTTTTCCCTCTAAATTCTAATTCTCTTAAAATTTTTATTTATTTTTTTGACTTTCTATGAAACTCAGTTTACTGCGAGTTTGTTCATCAACTTGCGATAATAATTTTTGTAGATGGATTTTCATGGAAAGAAGTCTGTATTTTTTAAAATTTCCAATAAAAATCTGTGGATAAACAACTGCATTCTTTGGTCCCATTTCTCCATCAAAGAATTGAGGAAGAAGAAAAGCACAGAGCTACATGACATAGAAACAGGCTTCCCGCATATAAACTCGACCAATTGGATATGAAAACTTGCAGGATTGGACAAAACGTACTATTCGACCGTGGCGTATCAATCGGAGGTCTTAACCCAGAGTTAACATAACTTTAATCAAGGTCTCACCGTGGTTAGCTAAAACAAAAAAAGGCTCTAAGATGAAGATTATATACGGTCTTGCGGTTTAATAATTCGAATCAAACCAGAACTCTGTTGAAGAAAATCCGAAATTTTAAACTACATGCAACTCCTCGTCAGGGCTAATTTACTGCTGTACAGAACAATGAGAAGCGGAAAATTACATGAAATTCAGAAAAGAAATTCTGAAAATGGGTACGAATATCGCAAAATATTGATCCTTGACATTGTGGAAGGGTTTTAGGTCTAAATATCCAGTCCAAAATATCCAGTAAAAAATATCCAGGCCAAAAATATCCAAAAGCCAAAATCTCCAATATAAAAATATAACACAACATAACACAAGATCACAAAATTGAGTAATATAACACAAGATCACAATAAAACAGAAAATTACACGGTTACGTTGTATTTTATTACGTTTCACCTACAATAACACGTTCTCAGATAATTACAAATACATCCATCATCTATGAATACACATTCTATCCATTAAATTCCTCACCGACACGTCTCATTGAAGTAGTTTTAATCCTTGCAGAACACTGGAACTTGCTATCATGCTCAATACATCGCCAATAAATTGTAGAGATGGATTTAGAGTGTACAGAAAAGAGAAAACCTTGATGGATAAGCAGAGGCTTATTCTTTTGACTCATAACAAATCGTAGTATTCCGGGCATGTTGACGGACGGACTCCCGCCGGAATACTGACCATTCGAAGATTTCTAACGATAATCAATCCGCGTCAGCAGCGCCGTTGCCGTGTGTATGAGCGCGGT